TTGGTATAAAATAAGAAAAACGTGAATGACTTATTTTCTTTTTCTCATGTATGATCTATATTATTTATTCAAAGGAGCAAGATTTTGTGCAAACCCTGAGTTGTTTGTCTATGATAATCACACCCGCATTTGCCGAGGTAAGTGCAGGCTCCTTAGCTCTGGACATCTGTATTAAGTAGTAGAATGTTTTCAGTGTTATAATCCTTCATCTCTCTCAGCTTAAACAGCAGGATGAGAATAATGCTAGCAGGAACCAGGCAATTGAAGAGCTGGAGAGAAGCATTGCTGTGGCTGAAGCTGCCTGCCCTGGCATCACAGATAAAATGGTGAAGAAATTAATTGAAAAATTTCAAAAGTAAGCTTAAAATGTCATTTTCAAAATTTCCTTGATATTTTCTGTCGGATGTTAATTTATGATGTAATGTTATTACCTTGATTCAATCATTTATTTAACAAAGTCACTTTTTAATAGTAGTATGCTTGAAAACTTGTTTGTTGACCGTCTTAAGTATTAGTGTTGGACACTGTTATTGTCAGGCATTACAAGGTAGTTTTCCACTGAATGAAAAGGCCTGTTTTGTCTGTTGGGAGTACAGACAAAAGGAGATGGAGCATATTCTTACTGGAGCCCTTGTAAGCAGCATCTAGGAATGCTTGGTTTTTGCCACCACCCTCATCATTTGTAGAAACACCACTAGTCACAGAGCTTCCGGTGCTGAAATTCCTGGGTTTTCCCATGTGAAAAGTGAAGGAAACGATTTTAGCTAGAGGAACCCGTTAGAGACTATAGAAGGCCTTTATGTTTGAATTTAGTTTCTATATTGTCTCGTGGAACTAGTAGATAGTTTAACTTTGTTTCCATTCGAGAAAATTTGTTTAATTTTTGAAATTATTTTTAAAAGAAGACTTTCATACGCATACACACACATACATACAACTCCTTAGCTCAAGCCAAGTATTATAAAGTAATACTAATTTTAGCCTTAACCCATTATATCTTTTCTCAGTTGATTTTTGCATTTTTTTGTGTTTGTGATGCCACTGAGATCAAGTTGAAACAAACTATTTGGCCTGTAAAAGCACGCACTCTTGCCCATCCTTCTATTTGATAAACCTACTTGTGCTCATAAATTAAAGCCCTTCTTAAGACCCTTTACAGTTTAATGAACAACTCCTCTTGTCCTTTCCAGTTGCAGACAAATCATTTGGAAGTTGCCAAATAAGACTCAAGAGCATTTTTTAAAAACTTGTTTATATTTTAACATCTACATGAGAGTTGATAGAATTAATCTTATTGAATCAGTTCCTTCTTTGTAGAGTTCATACAAAGATGGATACTATTACATTTATTTAAAGTTTTTTTTCTTATTAATTTTCTAGATGTTCAGCAGATGAATCCCCCTAAGAAATATATTCTTGGCTTGTGTTTCGCACGGGCCCAGAGAAACCCACCAAAGCTACTTCAAGCTTCACAATGCTTAATTCATGAGCTCCGTGTGCCTTTTGGATCTTTGCAACATATCGATGATTGAAGATTTGGAAGAACCTATTCAACTATTTTGTGATGGTGTTTATCATTTTATACTTTGAAGAGATTATTTTGTAAGGACTAACTTTTAATACTGTAGTCTCAACTGTATTCTAGTAAATGTTGAGATCCAGTTTTGCTTTTAGGGGTCATATTACTGAAGTTGCTAGGATGAATACCTTTCATGTTTTGCTCTTTAGTTAACTGTACACTCATGAAACATCGAGGTCTTTCAAAGTCATCCTAAATTCAACTTTTGTAAATCACCAAGCATCAAAAAGCTTTTTCTTTTTTTTATGCAATCGTATTCTGAAAATGACTATTGGTGGGGAAATGGAAGTCATATCTTCTTAAAACAGAAGGTTTTAATAAGCCCTCTGAAATGAAAGCTGGGAAAGTATTGATTCTTCTGCCAAGTTGGTCCGATGTTCCAGGCAGCTCAATGATTATCACATTCTAGAGCCCTGTGTTTGAGGCATTTGCAGGCAACGTGTAGCAAGAGAGGTACCTCTTGGTGTGTAGTATCTATGTTCCATTTTAGAAGAGGCAATCAACTCCTATTTAACATGGTTGAAAATTTAAAGCAATACCATTTAGCCCAGGATGGGTGTTTGGTTATACTGGACAAATTAGTCTGGTTTCATTTTTTAAAATATCCAACTAAAATTGCTCATTATATGCTTAGATTTGGGGAGTTTAAAAAAGCTGATATGAATATAACTTCTACCAGCATATTTTTGGTCATGGTAGTAAATTGTTCTATGAACTATTTATATATTTTTATTCTTCATAATTAACAATGCATAAGCATCATTTGTTCATTTTTAAAGGGTATTTAAGTGAGCATTTTCTAGTTCATGAAAGCCATAGTCATTATGGGATGATTTCTGTCTATTCAAAGGTAAGTTAGACTTGTACAGTGAATTTTCAGTTATATTTATGGTACTATTAAGTGGGTAATATCTTTTTTCTTTTAGACCCAGTATATATAATTATGCCTAAGTTTTGAACCGGAGCTATATTTTCAGTAGTTGTAGAATTATTGGTATTAATTAGTTTTAATAGTTAATGTTTTAATGTTTGGCTCTGCACAATTTAGTTTTTGCACAAAAGTCATTGTTTTTTATACCTGAGTCATTGCCAAATATTAGACTGAAGATGTTCTTAAAGTAAAGAATACAGTTTTTCATCAAAGTGGAATTACATCCTCTTTCTTTAAAATAATACAAACCCTTGAGAAAGCTGCCATGGTGTCATATGCCAATAAAATTATTTTCATCGGTGCCTATACTGTAACAATCATTTTTAACACATTGTATTTTGAAGTAAAAGTTCTGTAAAATTTTCACCTGCTATGTAACTGAAACTCAGTTACAATTCATGATCTGTAGAGGTCTGAAAATAATTTTGCAACCATATCATGGATTAAATGAATATTTTTGTAAAAGTAAAAGCAACAAATTTATAAATCAGTTATTTGAAACTTTAGGGCACAACTGCATCACAGGGACAAATTGTATGGCTTATTGTCCATTAGTTACTAGTCCTGTAAACCGTTTGTAGGTGAAGCATATTCCAGTGTTTGGAGGGGGATGAAAAATAAATATTTAAATCTCATGGTTTGCAATGTTTGTTTTCTTGGGGGGGGTGTGGTATTTTAATTATTTCAACTTATTTTCCCAACTTGCCCTTAAATTTATTGTTGGAACACTGAAAACTAGAAGACAGTGTTCACATTATAGGAAGCATTGTTTATAACTAAAGTAAACATCTACTTCACTTCTGAGCCTCCTAACTGGGCAAAATTAGTAATAGAGTCCCATTTTCTTAAAAAAATGTCCTGAATTGAACAATAAATTATATGGTCATCCTAACTATAGCTTTAAATTATACTTTTTTTTTTTTTAAGAAGATATTATATACAGATTTGGGCCCTATTCTTCTCCCTGGAACATAAAACTTAGCAAAGATTTCCAGATATTGAGATAAGAAATAGCATATAGAATAGAGGAATTCAAGTTATTCCTGAAGGAACGGGTGAAGATGAATGCAATGTGATACTAGGTATGAGGCCAGAAGCAAAAATGAAAGTACTGAAATGCAAGAAAGGAATGAAGTTGATCAAAGAGGATTTCCTGATGTAAGGACTAGGAGAACAAGGAACCGATTTCTTCCATCTTTTCATCATTAGGTTATATTTATAAAAAATAGCTTGCCTGTTTACTTGCATCACTTCTTTGAAGTTAGTACTTCACATCTTTTAACTATACTGTACTGAAAATTTAAATCAATAAACAAAATAACAACATTTTCAAATAGAATGCTTGAACTTCTTGGAGCAATTGTAGAGAAATTTTGAATGGCTCAAGAATAGAATTTTGTTTTATTAACTCAGCCTGGTTTCAGCACTATCGTTTTTATTTTCAGCCACTCTCAATTCTGCCACATTTCCACCACTGACCATATATTTTCACTTGTCTCCCTCCTTTTCCTTGTTTTGTAACTGTCCCGGAATTCCCTTAGTCATAAGCCAGAACCAATTATTTCTGAAATTGATTGAAACCAAAGGAAGAGCATCCTCATCACTTATCTTTTTAAATAAACGGGTTTTTCCATCACTTTTTATTAAAATAACATTCATCTCATTTCCTTACTTACATACATGCAACAAGATCTGGCAAAATATATGTATATATCCAGCAGGACAGATTAGATAAACAAACCAGCCTGTTACCTTTTATCTTGCACTAAATATAATAGGTAATTAGGAATAGAGAAGTTATAAGTCAAACATCATAATATCTTATCTTCATCAGGCATAGAACTGGCTTTAGAGGTTGATTTAATTTATTAATTTCCTAAGTCTAGAATTCTGTCAAGTCTTAAATTCTCAACCTGCACTCTGTTGAGAAGATTTATACCACCACCTTGTTCCTGAGGTTATAGGAGGGCCATGCTCCCCCTACATATATGTTATAAAAATTGAAGTCCTTAAAATATGACAAGACCACTTTTCATGAGCCACACAGATAATGAGGACCAAAACCTTTTGTCGAGAGTATTGTCTCAAGAACAGAATGATCGACACCATCAATAGCCACTGAATGACTAAATGATAGAACGCAAATCCATGCATACACCCATTTTGTCACCATTCCTCAATGTTGAAGAGCCTAAACTTCATTTATAATGGCTGTGTGAGGAAATGTGTCATGGAGATGACAGGTACCCACCTCACCGTGCCATGATGCTGGTGGGGAGACAGCGTGGTAGAGGCCTTTCAGAAAAAAGAGACGAGGAAGCACTAGCAGTGGCAGCTTCTGAGGAATGGTGCTACAGCTGGTTCTTTGACAAGCTGCTGTTGTTATGTGCCGTCAAGACGGACCCGACGCACAGTGACCCCTCCTTGGGTTTCCGAGGCACTATCACTATGGAAGTAGATTGCCCAACCTTCCTTCCGAGGAGTGCTTTGATAAGCTAGGTGTCCAAAATGAGAAGGTTCCTTTAATGAATGCCATTGAGTAGTAACTAAGAAAATGGCTTATGCAAAGAGGTTTCTGTCTCTCTCTCTTTTTTTAAACCTATGGTGGTCATGTGGAACTGGCCCAGAAATGTTCATAGCATTCACAGTTTTAAGCTAAATAGTAATTACACGATTTTAGCAAAGTCCTGTCTTCAGCAGCTGCTGGGTTGAAAGAAGCATCTTCATCTTCCTCATCTAGCTGTAGACTACCAGAAGACAAGCGGATCCTGGCCACGGGTGACTTTATTCCTTTGCCGTACAAAGAATAGTAGTCTGGGTTAAGCATCTCTGATTCAGAATCACTGGATTCACTGGCCACATATTTTTCTGCTGCACTCTGACCCACCAGAACTGTGGGAAACTCCTGCTGTGCAAACATACACGTGAACAGGTCAGCTTTACGACTCAGAGCAGGGCAAGGCCCTAAAGGTCTAAATTCTGACCCAAAAGGAAAACGGATCGTTTTCATGTCTGATTGGCTCTGGGATCGCTTAGGGGTTTGCTCATGAAGGTTATGTGCAAATGCATCTTCCAACGTTGGTGGTTCCTCTTCCAGATCTACATTTATGTTGCTCCTACCACTAGTCCTGGCCATAGCTTCTTGGAGTTCTTGAAAGTCTTGCTGAAAGCTCTTCATTCTGATATTCCTTGGACTTCTTTTAGCTGGTTTTGTTACAGAGGTCTCTAGACAGCTGTCTGGCCTTTCCCTTTCCTTTGCCATGATTGGAGATCGTCTGGGCACCTGGGGTGGCCTGTCCACATAAAAAAAGACTTGGGGGGGCATAATATCAACCTGCTGGCTAGTGCAGGGAATGTAGGGCACATCTGTGTAAGTGAGCTGCCTTGCTGGACTCACTGTGCTCGTGAGGCCAGAAGATGTACTCATGTGATTGTTACGAAACTTACAGCTTGTTTGGAAAGAGCTTAGAGGACTCTTCTCCTCAAAGAAGTCAGGATCAGGATCAGGATCAGGGTCAGGGTTAAAAACAGGGTCTGTATACATAAAATGGAAAGAGGAGCTGCTTCGGGACTGAGGCAACAATGTGGGATCTGCCTCTGGTTTGGAACGCTCCAGCTCGGCTGCAAACGTCACGTCCGTTGCAGAGTTCCTCCTCCTACTGTCTAGCACAGGTTCAGATGCGTGCACGCCATTCACATTTCGGTAACACCCACTGCCATATGCTAGTCTCAAATCTTCCACCTTGAGAGAAAGGGCACATTGGTGAAAGAAGGAAAAGGCATTTGGTTGGGGCCCGTATCCCAAACCCACTGCCATCAAGTAGATTCCAACTCATAGCAACCCTATAGGACAGAGTAGAACTGCCCCATAGGGTTTCCAAGACTAAATCTTTAAGGAAGCAGACTGCCTCATCTTTCTTGCACAGAGCAGCTGGTGGGTTCAAACCACCGACATTTTGGTTAGCAGCCCAATGCTTTAACCACAGCGCCACCAGAACTCCTTTTGATTGGGGAGGGGGCTCCTAAATTAGCTTTGAATTGGATTTTGACAAGAGAGTTTTTCATAGAGTCATTTCAATCCATATTCTATTTCAGGGCTGTTATGTGTGTGTGTATACATATATACACCTATAACAATAACTTCTACCATATCCAAATTCATGTATTAGAAAGCACACATGACACTATTCCTTCTCAATGCCATCCCATTCCTAAACTCAGAGTTCTATATGTACTTCAAACAGTATAGTTCAGTAGTTATAACAATGAAGCTAGTCAGGACACCTGGATTCTATTTCTGCTCTGCCTTTGACTTGCTGTGTGGCTTCAGGCAAGTTTCCTAACTTCTCTGGTCTAGCTCCTCACTTTTTGGAAAATGGTGTTGAGGAAGGCTGTGAATGGCAGGAGGGGTAGCATATAATAGATGATCCCTTCCAGCACTGTACCTCTATCATGTCTTTTAAAAACAAAACAAAACAAAAAACATCCTTTGACTTCAACAGACATGAGAAATTACAGGATCGATCGATCTATCTATCTATCTATCTATCTATCTATCTATCTATCATCTATATCTATCTATCATCTATTTATCTATCTCTCTCTCTCTCTCTCTCTCTCTATATATATATATATATATATTTTAGGGAGAGGTAAAGAAAACATTTAACATTTTTTACACTATAAAACTCAAATGAAGACATTATCTCACAGTTCCAAGGGAACAGTACTTTGTTTTAAGTTGAATCTTAAAATTACACAGCAAGAAATATTTTAAAATCTTAACCAAAGATGTTCTATCTTATATTGCATAGTCAAAAAGAAGAGGTGGTACTTTGAAAAATACAGTGCCATAGAAATTCATTTGGATCTGCATTTTGTTAGCAATGCAGGTTGCAGTTTGAAGATGTGCTAGATTCTTCCAGTGTATAAAGTTCACAGCAGTGGTGGTTTACTAAATGTTCTTCTATTGGCTGGAAAGACTGAGCTAACAGACCCCCAGAAGGCTCACCCATCTACTTGAACAGAGGAACCTTTTTTACACACTGGGAGATTCTGACAGAATCAATTCTTAGCAGCATCTGGAATGTGGATGCATTACATTTACCTGAAAGAGGAGGAATTTAAACAAGTCTTACTTGTTTTGACACATCCGAGAGGAGGTCTGGTGACGACCTGCACTGTCGTTCATGGTACTGAGATGGGTAATGTTTCCTGAAATCCCCAAACAGAATAGCCATTGAAATGGTCTTCATTTGAATACCAGGATACATACCAATATCTAATTTAACATCAAATCAGTATGAGAGAGAGAACGAGAAAAGCATGCACCTTTCGAATGGCAAGCTCTTCAATCTCCCTTTTTTCCCATATTCCAAAAGTTGTCTTTGGGTTCTTCCACTATGATAAGGAGATAAAAGTTAGATTAATGCTAGGTATAAGCAAACAGGCCACTAACACTTGAAAACTTTGTTCACTGTTGAAACCAAAAGAGTTGGAATGAATGACATATGTCATAAATCTTTGATCATCACATTAATGATAAAAACCTGTAAAACCAGTTGCCATGGGGACAATTCCAACTCATGGTGACCCAACGTACCAGAGTAGAACTATGCTCCTAGCGTTTCGGTGGCTGGTTTTCCAGAAGTAGATCACCAGAGGTGCCTGTGGGGGATTTGAACCTCCAAACTTTAGGTTAGCAATGAACACATTAACTGCACCACCCAGGGCTCCACATTAAGGCTGATGCCCATTTAGCAAAGATCAGATACAGCGCAATTTCAACTACCCAGAACCCAGAATTTTTTAAAAGCTTCTCAACAGGGCTCTATAGCAGTTTAGAAGTCTGGGCTTGAAAACTACTACTTTTCTTTGAAGACTTTTCCTCTACATCTAAATCAGAGCCAGCTGACTCTTACTTCACACACTACTTCTACTGTGGTTCTGCACAGAAGAAACGGCAGCTGACTCAACAGTAGAAGAGAGTGGCTCCAGTCAGGCATTCGCTAGCAGAGGAAGTCAGCTGACCGCTGGGATAGGCAAAAGAAGAAACAAGAAAGAAATCACAAGAATCATAAAACCCAAAAAGTCTGGGCCATTTATCACTGAGGTCCAGGGTCTGCTCTGCCTTCTCAACCCTGCCCTGAGGTCATCCCTGCGCTACAGCTGCCTGCAAAGGATAAGAAGGGACGTCTGTAATAACTCAGGTCATTAAGAAAAGAGCAAAATATGCTCCATATCATGTTTCAGAAGGCAGGGATTTGTAGAATCCACTTTGGAAAGATTCCATAAAAAATACAGAAGTTTGTAAAATCTCAGCTCTTAATGGGGCAGGCTTCCATGATGTGCAAAAATCCCTTATGGGGAAGCATTGAATTAGAATGTTTAAATTTCAGCTAAGTTTTGAAAGTTTCTTTCAAAGTCTTCCTAGGCCTGTGTGTTTAAATGAAAACAACATCTTAACTCCTGGCCACTCCTCCAGGGTGTCACCTGGGGTGCGGCACTGTGGCCAGTGCCCGCAGCTCAATCTTTTCAATCCCTTATCCCCTAAGGCGCTTTCTCTCACTAGCCTGACCACCTCCACAGGATGTTGCTAAGTTTTCAGTTAGTTCCTTGGCTTGCATAGAAGTTGCCTATAAGGAAAACAGTAAGTTCACTGAATACAGTTTCTCAAGCTGCATATGCCCCCTCATTCTTTTACAGATTCTGATCCAACCCCCTGGGTGGAGTACCCCTCTCCCTGCCTCCCAGTTGGGAAACATTGACTTAATATGTCACACATGGAGTGACTAATAAAGCGGATCATCTTTCAGGTGACTGAAATGGATTCTTTATTTCTTCGAGAATTTGAGCTCTTCTTATTGCTTTCCATGTTATTGAATCTGAGTGTGTAATTTGCCTCGATGCAATATTTAATTACCTGTAGCGGAAACTGGACCCTTTGCTGCAGAGTAAAGTTTTGGGCTTTGATTTGGGCTCTTCAGAAAGCCTGAAGAAAGCATGGTACTCCACACAAGTCTTCCAGAAAGCCTTGCAGGCATCTCGGCTGGCCATGGTGAACTCTAAGGTGTCCTTGCACAACACCTGTATAAACCAATTTCCATTAAACAAAACAGCCTTCAAGAATATCAAAGACCTTCAAATCCCAAAGCCGTCCAAACTATTGGTCCAGGGGCCTCTGCAGCTGGGCTTCCCATTTTTCACTTGGCTCCCTGTAGGCTTCACATCTACTGCAACCAAAATGATTGGCAACTTCTGAGGAACAGACAGGGCCACTGTCCTCAGACAGAGCCTTCTCTGAGAAGTAAATCTTGCTTTGCACATTCGCCGCACCTCAAACCCTTTCTCACCCTTTCTTCTCTGCCAGGAACATTTTTATGAAGTTGTAAATTAGGTTAAAATGAACATCAAAGGGCATACTTTGAAAGTGACAAGAAGTTATAAATGACCAACAGGAAAGGGGGTTGGATTTCCTTACAGATGGTAGGGTTTATAGAATGATTACATGTATGTGAGCCTTTTTTTTAAATGTACCAGCTAGACACATTTCCTTCTCTTTATGCTGCTTTGTTCTATGACGGTCTGTATTGCTCATTTAGCATATTCTAGGAGAACTGGGCCCTCCAGATCTAAAGCTCAAGTTTCCCCCATCACCTGACTCACTGTATAGCCTCATTTGTCCAAAGCTACATGGCATGCTTGCGGCCCTGTTTTCAGCAGCCCTGCCAACCCATTCTGTTAGCCCACCTTCTTTAATTCTTTTTGGAATACCTGCCAGCAGCCCCAGTCCTCTCTGTGAGCTTCCCATTGGATATGATCTAAACTGCTCAAATGGATAGTTCTATAAAAGGCTCAGATCTGAAAAATGATGCCTCAAATTACTGGATCTTCTGTAAGTCAGAAATTAGTTGATCTCCAGTTTTTATTTCCTGTATGATTATAAAGGAGCTCTAGCGGTGAAGTGGGTAAGGCATTTGGCTGCTAACCAGAAGGTCAGCAGTTCATATACACCAGCTGCTCCGTGAAAGGAAGATGGTCATGAAAGAACATCCTTTTTTGTGCCTTTGTCTCACCCTGTACAATGCATCTTGACCAGCAATTGCTTATTTTGCTTCTGTGTATACTCCCCCCAACACACTTACCATTTGATTTTGGTACAGAGTAAGTGTTCAATAATTTTTGCTTAAGGAAAGAGGGTGAACATATTTTAGAAAAACAGAGCAGATATTATCAAATCAATATGCCCACAGTCCTAGATCCTGTCTCTCCCATTTGACAGGGTCACTGTCCTCAGATTCAAATTCATCCCATTTGAATCGTCAAATCCCTGAAAAAATTGTTTCCAAATAGATTTTACTTACACCTCAGCCACCCCATATTCCAATTGCTTTATTAAATCTGAACTGCCAATTGGCTTTCTTAACTGTTTTGCCTTTAGTAAAAAGATGACTATAGCTTTAGTTTATTTATGTAGAAGTAAAAGAGGGAGCATATCACCCCCTAAGGCCCAGCCAGCTTTCACCACTTACATTCAAACCGTTTGTAGACACTACTAAGAAATCTCCAAGTGCATAGAATTCACTAAAAAAAAAAAAAAAAAAAAAAAAAATCACTAAAAAGCTACTTACCAAGATGTTGGCATGAAGCTTGATAAGAAAATGCTTTCTTTTAAAGCTCAACTTGCGGATTTTAGCCCAGTTAAAAGTATTGATCTTTGTATTTCCCTACAACAAAACATGAAGCAGATTTCAAGATGAGGGTCAGCACAAGCTGGTTTGATAAGACAGTGCAAACCTCACAGAAAATGCACTACATGAATAGGACCATCCTTGACCTATCTCATGAGCAGATTAGTCCTAGCACACGAGGTAGAAGCTATGGCCAAAGACCACGGTGGTGGCTTGAGTGTTGCTATGATGCTGGAAGCCATGCCATTGTTATTTCAAATACCAGTAGGGTCAACCAATCATACCCAAGTTTCAATGGCTCTTCCAGACTAAGACAGACTAGGAAGGAGGCTTGGCAATCTAATTCCAAAAACTAGCCAATGAAAAAGTTACAGATCACAGCAGAACATTGTCTGACTCACTTGCTCTGGACACATCTTCAGGAAGGATCGATGGCTGGAGGAACCATTGTGTTTGGTGAAGGAGAGGGCCAGGAAGGGTAAAGGAGACCCTCTGTGAGATGAACTGGCACAATAACCACAATGACGGGCTTGAACGTGCTGGTGATTGTGATAATGAAACAGAACACAGCAATGTTTTGTTTTGTTCTGTATAAGGTCCCCAGGAGTCAGAGTCAACTCGATGACAACTATCTATCTATGGCCAAATAAGGCATTCCAGGTAGGACACAGGCTGCTCTGATATGCAAGCAAGAAGGGTATTCTTGGGGAAGGTTTCTAGCCAGGGCAGGGACCATAGTAGGAAAAGAT